GGGTATTATAGAAGTGCAGACAAGTCAGGAAGGCCTTCTGAAGAGCCATTTAAAGCATGACTAAATTCTTCCAGCAAATCGGGAAGCCCTGCGAAGTGTGCAAGAAGAGTGAGAATGCTGGGAAAGGTCATGGCCGAATGCCTTGGTTCCGTGACTAGAAGCTTCACAGGGAAGAAGACATGGAACACTAGTGTAAGGAAGTGGACTGTATTCTATTTTCTTTTTTGTTCTTCATTGCTGAATTCTAGATCTTATTCTATATTCTTTTTCTTTAGTACATAGAGCTACATAAGGCCGTTTTCATACAAGAATATAATGTACTATGAGCATTCTCCCTCCCTCATTCCTCTTCCCTTCCCACCCATGAGCATTCTCCTCTCCCCGACTCCTCCCCGCTTCCCATCCCTCCCATGAGCCCCCCAGACAGTTCCACCTCTGCTTTCACACTGTCAGTATATGCATGACTTTATGTATCTATGAAGTGGAGGACCCAAAGTTGAGAGAAAATGTGATAATTGTCTGAGACTGACTTAATTCACTTAATACAATTATCTCCAGTTGTATTCATTTCCCTGTAAACAACATAATTTCACTTTTCATGTGGCTGAAAAAAATTCCACTGTTTGTACACACACACACACACATACACACACAAACAAACACACACAGAGGTACACACAGGCAAGAGGGGAAAACCAGTGAACACCTTTGAGCAAAATACTGTAGTGACTGTCTTTGAAAAAATTCAATTAGTAGCAGTATGGAGACTAGAATTGAAAGACTAAATTCAGACAGGCTGATGAGTTAAGTGGTTACCAAAATAATCTCCACTGTGAGATAATACAAATCTGCAGTGAATGTTTACCAGCCCAGAATTCATGACCTTTTATTTTGAAAAGAGAACACTGACTTTCAACAAGGAAACCACTTTCTACTACTCACTTTGGTCAATGAAGTTCTAAGGTCTTACCCTCCCCTCGGATCCAGTATTTAGTACACAATTTAGGCCCAATTGAGCAGCATATTCCATATCCCGACTGTAAAAAGAACAGAAATCAATCAGCTCCAGAGCCTTTGCTCTTGCTGGAGCTACTGGACAGCATCCTTTTTGTTATTATTGTTGAGACTGCCCAACCTGGAGTTGCTAAGGCTTTCCTGTAGAAAGTCTGATTGACAATGAAACTAACAAACCCAGAAACAGATTAGAGACAGGGGCAAATTCCTGACTCTGAACACCAACATTTAGCAATGCCTAAAAGTAGAAAACTCTGGACTTGTTAGAAATGTATCTGGAAATGGATTAGAAAAAAGAGAAAGAATTCAAAAGAAATACCAGGGATGGAAGGCACAGAACTTAGTGACTGCTTGGATAGGGGAAAAAAGAAGAGAAATATCAAGTTGTACTCTGAGGCTCTGGCTTGGTTAACTGAAGAGAAAAATGCTACAAACTAGGACTGAGGACAGAGGAAGTGAAGATTTTGGTCAAATGAATGTCCAGAGTCACTAAAAAAATACATTATTAAATTCTGATTCAGTATGAGACACTGTACCAAGAAAACTGGGCAGTGCATATAGCTATTTGATAGTTTCAGAAGACAATTTCCAAACTGGCATTTAAGGAAACCTTAGGGAAAGATAAACAGCATGCCAAAGTACTATGGCATTTTGCCAGCAGATAGTCAAGCATATGGAAAACAATTAGGGTACCTACGATGTAAGCACATTCCTCCTAAGGTGAAGTTAAGAGCTGGGTCAACATCCCAATTACCAATGTGCTTAACTTAGATAAAGCAGCCAGGGAGATAGGAAGAACAAAGTATACTATTGCAAACAGTAACCTGTGGATAACATACCTAAGGTATTTCAAGAAAACAGAGACTAGGCAGAAAAAAACAACTCATTGCACCAGGCATTCTGTGACGAACTTGAGCTCATTATTTTGTTGAATTCTTAAAATCTCTCAGCTGGGAAGAATAGGCCTCAATGAGATGGGATTCAGTAACAAGCTAGGATTCAAATGTAGCTTTTGATATGAGAAATGAAGAGAGAGGTTTGAAATTTCACACTCTGGAGCGCTGGCTTGGTTGACTGAGTGGAAAATGCTATTAACTGACATCAAAACAAAACAGCTCTTGGTGGCTTTAAGCTTACACATGTCACTTAATCAACTGCTTTCATTGAAAGGTTTTAATACTTCATGATTAAAAATGAAGCCATTTCATCAAGGAGACCTTCTAAATTGGGTGTTGTAGTGGCCATAAAAAGGTTGTTTTCAGTGACCCAGTCATAATACCTCAATTCTTACACATAAGGCATGCATTTACCAGTGTCTATCTGGAGCTATGGAGGCCATCAGTACCATGAAGCCTCATTAAATACACATTCTGAATTAACCAGCCTCCAACAGAAATCAGTCCTATAACAACAATTTGAGTTGATTTTATGGGGAAAATTCCATGGTTGAAATTGTTTTGATTAAAGCATTCTAGTTAAAAGGCAGATATAAAAGGGGTAATTGACAGGAAAAGATGCCTACAAAGGACTTGTCCTGCTGGCCTAAATGATAGGCACAGAATAGTATAGAATTGAACACTAGTATGTATATTTGTCACTATTATCATATGGGTGGCAGCACAGAGTAGGTTTTAAAAGTGGCTGGATTTGAGTTCCAGTTACACCAGGGATTCCACACATGACCATGGCAAGTTACTTATCCTGTCCATGCCTTTGTTTCCTGATCTATGAAGTGATGATTATTGTAGTACTGACCTCATATGATTGTTAAGATATTAAGCAACATTTGTAACACTCTTGAAACAGTGCCTGGCATATAGTAAATAAGTGCTGGTGAAATAAATAACTAATGCAGCTCCAGCAAAATGGGGAAGAAAACTGAACTTCAGTATCTGACCCAGCCTGCCCCACATGAAGCAGCACAGGAAAACCAAAATAACCCTAAGCTTGTTTGGCATTCACAGGGTACACTTTACATAAACTATTTCAGACATCTGGAGGAAGAATAAATAGTCAAATATACATAAGCAGAAACTGAACAGTGAAAAAGGGAAGTAAGATATTTGGTTTCATTTAGTACACATCATTCAGAGACCTCAGACAAGACTCCAAAGATCTAGTAGTCCGAGCTTTGTTGAGCAGGCCATAGTCATAAAAGTAGAGTCTCTTAATAGCAATGAAATCTTTACTCAAGTACATTTCAATTCTCCACTGAAGAAATTTTAAGGTAAATTATTTTGTTTGTAGTCTTTGGACCTCAGCTTATCCTGAGACCATCATTATATCTAAAATTATGTCTAAATGTCAAGAAAGACTTCCTTAAACCATACCTCTGCGGCAGCTTGGACCTTCCAATCTCTGAAGAGGTTAAGACCTGCTTTTACTGTTTTTCTTGTGGTGCTGGGAATGGAACTGTGAGCCTCCTGCATGCTAGGCAAGTACTCTATTACTGAGCTACACTCCCAAATCTAAGACCCATTATTAATGATGCAAACCCTAAAAAGGAGACATACCTCTACAGAGACCAAATGAACATACAGCCAAGACAGACTTTAAAATCTTACATCTGGGCTGGAGAAATGGCTCAATGGGTAAAGGTGCTTGCCACTAAGTATGAAACCTGAGTTTGATCCCCAGAACCCACCCGGTGAAAGAGGGATCAACTCCTACAAGTTGTACTTTGACCATGTATACATGCACACAATACACAAATAAATGTAATTTTAAAAATTAAAAATTAGTCGGGTAGTCCTAGCACTTGGGAGGCAGAGGCAGGTGGATCTCTGTGAGCTCAAGGCCAACCTGGTCTACATAGTGAGTTCCAGGACAGCTGGGGCTACAGGGAGACCGTGTCTCAAAAAGACAAAAAAAAATTAAAAAATGTCAAACAGGACAGACACGTTACTTGGAAAACTGGTAACTAAAAAATGTTAACATTTATCCTCTTTCCTACACTAACTGTATTTTTGGGTTATCAAATAGCTGTAGCTAATGAGAATCTTTGCAAAGCAATTCTAATTTATGAATAAAAAATTAAAAAATAAGGGGCTGGAGAGATGGCTCAGCAGTTAAGAGCACTGGCTGCTCTTGCAGAGGATCTGGGTTCGATTCCCAGCACCCATGTGGTGGCTAACAACCACAACTCCAGTTCCAGGGGATCCTATGCCCTCTTCTGACCTCCGAAGGCACTGCACGACATGGGTACACTTACACACATGTAGGCAGTACTCTCATGCACATAAAATTTTAAAAAAATTAATTAAAAAATAAAAAATGTAAACCCCATTTCTACAAGGTAAGACTTTCTGACAATAGTTCATATAAATGTGAACTTGCTTAATTTGCATTGTGGGAAAGAAGTGAAAGGTTTGAAGATGAAAAGGCACAGAGGTCTTCTCAGGACAGAGGGATCCCATTGACAAAGGACATGCACAACATTTTTGTTCTCTTCAGCAAGCCCACACCCAGGGCTCTTCCTGGCTTTGCATCCACAGGCCCTGCTCGCCTTCTCGCCCACATTCATCCCTGCCTCACCTTGCTAGGTCAATCATAACCTAAAACCTTTGATCTCAAAATTCTTACATCACCCTCTTAAAACGGGACTGGGTTGCTGTCAAAGGTTTTAAGGCAGGGCACCAACCTTGCCTCCTGTCCTTTATAGACTTTGGCCTATAAAATCTCACTACAGCACTCAGTCCTTTCCTCCCAGACTCTCAGTCCAGTCATCTCTTTCCTAGCAGTCTAGGATCTGCGCTTCGTACTTTTCTGTTCCCCTGCCCTCAAGGAATCCTACCACCCTCCCTCACTAAACCCTTCCCCTCCTTCATCCTTATCCACGCCCTGCCTGTCCCTCCTCTCGGGAAATTCTTCCCAAGTCATCCGCAGCAGTGGTTCTCAGGTCTCCTAGCCAGGCACCTGGTGCTCTCCAGCCCCAAGCCTTCGGCTGCCTGGGACCATCCCCCGACTCGTGACAGCTCGCAGCCCACCTGCTGTCCTCCTGCAGGCGCTCCCCGCCGCCTCCAAGATCCATTCCCGCACCCACGGGCCGCATCCGGGACAAGGCCTCCCCCTTGCTGGAGAGGCTCCGGGCCGCTTCGGCCGCCAGGATGCCCGAGGCACCCTCGGGGCAGAGGAGGCACCCAGGGCAGGTGGGCTCGGAATAACACGCTGCACCCGGGCGGCGTCCGCGCCAATGGCTGCTGTCTCAGCTGTGGTTTCTGCCCCTGCCACCCCCACTTCCGGCTCCAAGAACTACAACTCCCAGCAAACCCTGGGAAGACCTGGCCGCTCCCAGCATGCACAGCCCTACCCGATCCAAAGCTGAGTACGCTGACTTGAGCCCCGAGCTAAAGACCAGTGTGCCCAGTCAGCGAACCAGGATCGAAAGCTCCTGCCAACTACAGTCAGGAATCTGAGGGTGCACGCCTGCCACACTTGTCCCTGAGAATCGGACTCAGTCAGAGGTTAAGCTAGGAAATAAAACTGGTCTAATCCGAATTCGATTTGCTTCTCTTCAGTTCACCCCGATTTAACACTTGGTGTTGGAAATCTCAAGTATTTAAACGAAGCGCTCACAAACTGAAGGGCAGAAGACCAGCAGAAAGGCAAGGCTTTAATGGAAGGTCTTCAGAAGGACTGATGTCAGGGCACGAGTTTTTGTTCTATTTTTAAAGATTTGTGTGTGTGTGTGTGTGTGTGTGTGTGTGTGTGTGTGTATGCAGGTGGAGGTCAGAAGAGGCAATGGGATCCCCCAGAATTGGAGTTACAGGCGGTTGTGAGCCACCATGTGGGTGTTGGGAACTGAACTCAGGATGCCTGCAAGAGCTGCAAGTGTTCTTAACCACTGAACCATCTCTCCCAGACCCCGTTTCATTTTGTAGCACAGGCTGGCCTCAGATTCAGGATTTCTCCCAACCCCCACCTCAGCCTCCTGAGTGTTGAGGTTACAGTCTTAAACCTCCAAAGCCAAGCAGAGCTCTTTTAAAGGTAATTGTTAACTAGAAAAAAATGGGGAAGAAAAAGATGGACAGACCAGCTATGACAGATAAAAGGAAGTGTGCTGGTTTGGGAACTGCTGACACCAGTAAAACTCAGAAAGGAATTGGGGGGAAGAAAGCAAGGAGAGAACACTGACTCCTGAAAGTTATTCTTTGACCTCCACATGTGAACTGTGGAATGCACAGGCAGACCATGTCATGAAATGACACTTAGAGTTGGACTTTTAGCCATAAAACAATGAACATTTCAAGGACATGAAAATCAAGTGATTTGATCAAACCTTACAAAGCTCATTTTGACAATTTGGAGAGGGGATGAAATGGGTATCCCATTGGGTAAGGGTAGAAGAATAGAGGCCAGAAATCCTGAGTCTGTTGGTAATTCAAGAGTGCAGTGAGCCAGCTGCCGGAAACAACAGAGCATGGCAGGAATTCTGAACTGGAAAGTTTCAGCCCATTCCAAAAAGAAAAGTATCTCTCACCTTAGCTGTAACCAAATGTTGTCAAGTGCACATATGGACCTTAGGTTGCTGATTCTGTATTTTTCTTTTTGGGACTTTTTCAGACAGGGTCTCCCTGTAGCCCCAGCTGTCCTGGAACTCACTATGTAGACCAGGCTGGCCTTGAACTCACAGAGATTGGCCTGCCTCTCCTCCTGAGTGCTGGGATTAAAGGCGTGTGCCACCACGCCCGGCTGGTACTGTATTTTTCAAAAAGAGCTAGAATCTGCCTTTTTAAGTACAATTTCTGAATTTTTAAATGTTAGCAACTTTCTTTTTTATTTAAACATTGCACAGGCAAAGAAAAACTTATCTGCAGACTGAAGGTCGTCCCCTGGTTGCTAATTTGCAAGGCTGGACCTAAACTAGAGCAGTGGCTGGAAAAAACAAGGTTAAGATTCTAACGATATTAAGGCAACAAGAAGGACTGGCTATGGCAAGTGAGAATGAGAAAGAGATCAAGGACAACTCCATGAAAAACTAATGACTATTAAAAATAACATGGTTTGCAAGAATTTCCAGTCTTAGTTTGGGGTAGCTCAGTTTGGAGTGCTTGCTTGCCTGGCATGCAAGAAACCCTGGGTCCAGTCCCCAGCACCATATAAACTAGGCATAGTGGTACATACCTGTAATGTCAGCACATGGGAGGTGGAAGCAGGAGGATCAGAAATTCAAGGTACATTCTAGTCAGTTCAAAGCTAGTCAGACTATGTAAGACCCTGTATCAAAAAAAAAATTTTTTTTTTTTAGGGTCTGGAGAGATGGCTCAGCAGTTAAGAGTACTTATTCTTCCAGATGACCTAAGTTCCCAGTACCCATATCAGGCAGCTCACAACAGCCTGTAACTCCAGCTCCAGGGGATCTTCTGGCCTCCTCAGGTACCCAAACATACATGCACACAGACACACAACATACACATAAATAAAACAATAAAATAAATATTTAAAAAGTAATTCTCTGGGGCTGGAGAGATGGATCAGCAGTTAAGAACATGTGTTGCTTGGGTTGGGTTCCCAGCACTCACATGGCAGCTAACAACCATCTGTAACTCCAGTTCCAGGGGATCCAGTGCCCTCTTCTGGCCCCGAGAGCATTTCATGCATATGGTATACTTACATGTGGTACATGGTATACTTACACATAAAATAAAAATGGTAAATAAAATATTTTTTAAAATAATTTTCAGCCGGGCATGGTGGCACACGCCTTTAATCCCAGCACTCAAGAGGCAGAGGCAGGTGGATGTCTGTGAATTCAAGGCCAGCCTGGTCTACATAGTGCGTTCCAGGACAGCTGGGGCTACAGGTAGACCCTTTCTCAAAAAAACCAAAAAAAAAAAAAAAAGGGACAGTAGCAGTCATTTAGCTTCACTACCTTCTGTTCCATTTCTACAAATGCTTGAAATTCACTTTTTTTTTGAGACAAGGTCTCACTGTGTATCCCTGGTTGGCCTGGAACTTACTATGTAGACCAGGCTGACCTTGAACTCAGAGATCCATCTGCCTCGGTCTCCTGAGTGATTAAAGGCACCTGCCACCACTCACTTTCCTCAAGATTCTTTATCTTATCATCCAAGAACTTTAGGATTTAAACTTTAAATTCCCCCAAAGGTAACACTCTAAATTGCTTTAAGAATAATTTGGTAGTCTACATGTATATTTTTGGTAATCTGAAAGTTTATTCATCTATTATTTTGTTCTAAAATGGATTGGAGGCCATAATTGAACACTTTATCATATTTTATTATTTCTAAAGCCCTTATATATGACTCCATTGTTTCCCTTCTTAGTTTCTTTGCATTTATCTGTTCCTTTAAAGTTTATTTTAAAATGTTTGTTAGCTAGGCAAGTTTAAAATGTTTGTTAGCTAGACATATGTTTTTAATCCCAACACTTGGGAGATAAAGGCAGTAGGATCAAGAGTTAACGGTCATTCTTGGATACATAGTGAGTTCAAAGCTAGCCTGGGCTACATGGAGACCCTGCCTCAAAAAAATAAAAACAAAACAAAACCAAAATCCTAAAATGAATAAATTTGCTTAAAAGAAGTTTGTGGTTTGACTTTATAAAAAGGTTGTTACAGTGGGTGTGGTAGCGCACGCCTTTAATCCCAGCACTCAGGGGCAGGCGGATCTCTGTGAGTTCAAGGTCAGCCTGGTGTACATAGTGAGTTCCAGGACACTGGGGCTACAGGGAGACCCTGTCTCAAAAAAAAGTCAAAAAAATCTGTTTTTCTTTAAAATGGCAATATGAAAGGGCATTAAGCTGTATATATTCTTTGGGACCTTACTTTTTGCTTAATATTATATTGATAAAAATTATATCATCTCCATGTATAATTTATTCTAAAATTCTTTCCATTTATTTTTAATTATGTGTTTATGTATGTATCTGTGTGTGGATGCCCTCAGAAAACAGAGGTGTTGAGGAGCTGGAGTTACAGGCAGTGGTGAGCCACCTGATGTGGTTGCTGGTAACTGAATTCCAGTCCTCTGAAAGACCAAACAGTGCTCTTAAGGGCTGAGCTATCTCTCCAGCCCCCCTGTTTTATATTAGTGCATAGTATCAACTTTTTAAAAAAATATTTTATTTATTATTTTATGTGTATGAGTGTATTATCTGCATGTGTGTGGGTGCACCTGTGTTGTGCAATGCTGCGGAGGTCAGAAGAGGGCTATGGATTCCCCTGGAACTGGAGTTAAGGACAGCTCATAGCCACCATGTGGGTGCTGGGAATTGAACCTAGGTCCTCTGCAAGAGCAGCCAGTGCTCTTAACCGCTGATCCATCTCTCCAGCCCCTGTATGAACTTTTGGGTTTTTGTTGTTGTTGTTTTGTCTTTTTGAGACAGGGTCTCCCTGTAGCCTCAGCTTTATAGACCAAGCTGGCCTTGAACTCACAGAGATCCACATGCCTCTGCCGCCCGAGTGCTGGGATTAAAGGCGTACCCGGCTTGTATAAACTTTTTTAAAATTTTTATTATTTTTATTTTATGTGTATGCATGTATTGCCTGCATGTAGGTAAGTGCACTCATGTCCTGCAATCCCGAAGAGGTCGGAAGAGGCTGTCAGATCCCCGGGACTGGAGTTATAGACAGTTGTTAGATGCCATATGGGTGCTGGGATACGAACCTGGGTCTTCTGCAAGAACAACCAGTGTTCTTAACTGCTGAGCCATCTCTCCAGCCCCCTTGTATAAACTTTTAAAACATGAAGTTTACCTGATCTTAATCCATTTGTTTTCAAGTTTACCACAATATATTTATACACTCAGTAGGTCCTGAAAAAAGCCATTTTTGTTCAAGGATTAACCTATCCAGTCCAGATTGAGGATATCTTTTGTTATTTTTGGTTTTTGTTTTTGAGACAGAGTCTCCCTGTAGCCTCAGCTGTCCTGGAACTATGTGGACCAGGCTGGCCTCAAACTCACAGAGATCTGCCTACCTCTGCCTCCCAAGTGCTGGGATTAAAGGCGTGCGCCACCCTACCCGGCTTATTTTTGTTTTTAATTTAAATTTTTAAAGTTTTTACATTTATTTATTTTGTGTGTATATGTGTATGTGTGTGCACACACACTTGCCACAATGTGCATGTGGAGGGTACAGCACAACCTGTGAGAGTTGGTTCTCTCCCTCTACCATATGGACCTTGGGGATCAAACCCAGATTCTCAGGCTTGGCCAAGAGTGCCTTTACCTGCTGAGCCATCTCCCTAGCTCCTTGCTTTAAATTTTTGTTTTTATGTTTTATTTTTGTATTGT